AGTTTTTCCATGATCAGATGATCATGATTAGTTGTCCGTGATAAGTTATCCCATGATCAGTTGTCCTAGACCCAGTGAACTTCTTTGTTCTTTGTTATTAATAAGAATTGACTTGTCCTTCGGCTTTTTATTTTTTAAATTTAACATTAAAATATCTAAAACAAAATAAACTTACCTATAACTTCATCACCAGAGAGAAGATCAACTAACTACCAAAAATACATAAACAAAAGTAGTGTTTATAACTTAAATTGTTCTTTTTATTCTTTATAATGATTCATTTTTAAAATAGATATTTGTAAATTAATAAAATGAAGAATTATTTTTTCAATAAAAATAAAATTCTATTCAAATTTAATTTTTAAAAATAAACTTATTTTTTAGATTGTTTTTTTTTTTCAAATATTTTTTCTCATTTATTTATATTTGTTATTATGATTATAAACAGTAAATATGACTACATCATCTTCATCTACAACTAATGCAACACCACAACAAATAGGTAAAGCATTTGTTAGTCAATATTATCGTCTTCTTCGTGAACATCCTGAATCTCTAAATCGTTTTTTTCTGCATCATCAACATTTATGCATGATGATCCAACAAAAACTGTAACTGGCATAGAAGCTATTGCTAAACGTATTGAAGAATTATCATTAAAACAACATCATGTTAAAATTCGTCAAGTTGATTGTCATTTAACTGTAGATTTATCAATTGTTATACAAGTTTGTGGAGAAATATCATCAACACCAGTAACTGATACTCAAACTCAACCAATTATGAAATGTTTTGTTCAAACATTTGTATTAACACCAACAGATAATTCAAAACAAAAATATTATGTACACAATGATATATTTCGATATCTAGATAGTCCAACAACAATTTTAACAAATGATAATAATACAAAAATATCAACAACAACAACGAATAATAATGAAGGTACTAGATTCATTATGGATTATTTCGTAGTTGTTGTTGTTTTTTGAATAGTTTACAAATCTTGAATCGGAAAATTTGAGAAAATTGTAATAACTTGGAAGCAGAAATTTGGAGATCCGAATCAGTGGTTATGTTACGACCGGAGCTGGATAAATTCAGCCATTGCCTTCCCAGCTCCAAGTTCTTCTTGTTTTCCCGGCTGAAAAGAGCATCTTTCCAGCGAGAACCTACCAGAATATAATCAAAATTGTCCGTTGAAAATGAATCATTTCTAACATTTCATTTTTTAGTGTCTAATGAATTAAAATTTATGTTTATAGGTTTAATTGATCAACTTAAAAACGGTTTGGATGGATTCAATAAGGCACTGGAAAGTTTTAAAGGACAAATGGATAACAACTTCGCGTCTGTCAATAAAAATATTCAAAATTTAGAAAAAAATGCTCGAAATTTATAAACAAAATTTAACAAACGATTTGATCAATTATCGCACAAAATTGATGATATATATGAGCGTGGTGCAATATTATCAATAATAAATCGTCTTCCTGCTGATCATGAATTAGATATGCAACATTTACTAAGTAATCGTATGTTCAATTCCAGCTATTCGAAAAAAAGCCAAATTTTTTTCAATAATTTTGCAAAATATCTTCATAAAACATATTCAAACTTATGGACAGCAAAATACCATCCTATCTTGGTATCTCTTCAACCTCAACAAATCCAATTTGATATTCTTGGATTTGCATTTGAAGCTACACCTACTGCACGACCAACGATTCAATCACCAAATATTATGCCCGTCAATTCAACATCATCACATACAAACATCAAAGAATTTATTGCAAATACTATCATATGTGGCGAAGTTACTACCTCGAACCTAACATTTAATAATGATGAATTATTAAAACTCGAACAGGTACAGTTCTTTGCTACTGTTTTCTCTAATATTTGATTGGATTTTAAACAAAAGTTTTTTGTAACTTTATTCTAGGCTAATTTTGATTCAAGTAATGAAACAACACAAGCAACACATCGTTTACTTCACAAAATGCTACAATTAGAAAGATGTGTTGCGTTCATTCTTCAATATTATCAAAATATTGAATTACAAAATCTATTAGTGGTACTTTGTGGTAGATTCGACAATTACCATCATAATCAATCACCTGAATTTATTTATAAAGCGGTCTTTGAATCAACCTTCTCCTCAAAAGTACCATTATTACGTCAATTATACGAACTCGATAGAGATGATATGATAAAAAAACTGTATTTTATTTCTTAAAATGAAAGTTTAAAAGTTATTTTTTTTGTTCAAAATAAAAAAGATGATTCGAATAAAATGCTAACACGAACAGTACTCCCAGGTTGCAAGTGCACGATAGCAAATGTTCATCGGGTGTGGGTGTTGTTATGATCTGTGTATTATATACACAATCATATGTTCTCTTTCTTTTCTTTTTCTCTTTCTGTTTGGTTCCTTTTTTCTTTTCTTTCAACATATACATATATCCCCCTGGACAAAAATAGTTAGACTCGGTATTTCGAATATATTTCCACTATAAGACGACACTTTTTTAAAAGTAATTACATATTCTGAAAGCCCGTGGAGTTTTCTATCACTCTGCATAATTAGGTTTTAGTTTCGATCTATTCATTATCAAAATAAATTGAGAACAATGAAAGCTCGCTCATGTTCAGATTCCCATAAACTTGATTTGTCACTGTCGTCAAAATTAGTTTTTTAAATTTTTTATCACTATAGTACCATCTTTTGAGAAAAGTAATTATGTATTCTGATAGAGCTTGAAATTCTCTATCATCCTGTATATTTATTTATTTTCTTATATTGATTTATTTAAAAAAAAATTTGAGTGCAATGAACACATCGTGAAACGACCGGTACCAAAAATCTGCATTTTTTTCGCTATTTAAATTCAAGACACTACATTAATATATAGGATGATAGAGAATTTCAAGCGCTATCAGAATATGTAATTTCTTTTGGAAAAAATTATT